GATGGAGGAGGCCCAGAGAAGGGAAGGGGGTCAGATGGAGGAGGCCCAGAGAAGGGAAGGGGGTCAGATGGAGGAGGCCCAGAGAAGGGAAGGGGCTCAGGATGGGGAGGGGGCCCTGGAGGGTCTCGGCTCCGCTTCTGTAAAAGGAGGGGAGTTTTCAGGGTGAAGGAATTCAGTCTGCAGGCTGGATCCCCCCTAATTTGCAAGCCGGTTTGCCCCGTGCCTAGGCCCCAGCCTGGTGTCCTCCCTCTGCCCTTTCCTCCACTGCTCTCAGGAACCCTGGGACTGTCGCCGTGGTGCTGGGCGCCTATGACCTGAGGCGGCGGGAGAGGCGGTCCCGCCAGACATTTTCCATCAGCAGCATGAGCGAGAACCGCTATGACCCCCAGCAGAACCTGAACGACCTGGTGCTGCTTCAGGTGAGAGGCTGGTGTGGGGCTCACGCCTGTGGCCCCAGCACCTCAGGAGGCCGACATTAGCCAGGGAAACACGTTCAAACTCGGTCTCTATGAAAAAACAAGGGCGCGGTGGCTCACGCCTGTAATCCCAGCATTTTGGGAGGCTGAGGCAGGTGGATCATGAGGTCAGGAGTTTGAGACCAGCCTGGCCAACATGGTGAAACCCCGTCTCTACTAAAAATACAAAAATTAGCCAGGCGTGGTGGCACGCGCCTGTAATCCCAGCTACTCAGGAGGCTGACGCAGGAGAATTACTGGAACCCGGGAGGTTGAGGCTGCAGTGAGCTGGGATTGTGCCATTGCACTCCTGCCTGGGCGACAGAGCCAGGCCCTGTCTCAAAAAAAAAAACTTAAAGAAAAAAAAAAGGAAGAAAAAAAAGAAAAACAGCAAAACACACAGATGTACCACAGTGCACGTACGGAGCCTCCTGTTGGTGGAAACTGACGCCGTTTTGAGATGCTTTCGTTGTAACAGAACCAAGTGAATGTTTTTCATTTTTGATTTTTTCTTTGAGAAAATGATAAAATGATCTCAAAAATAATATAAAAAAAATTTTAAAAGTAGAGAGGGGGTTTCACCTCGTTGGCCAGGCTGGTCTCAAACTCCTGGCCTCAAGGGATCCTCCCACCTTGGTCTCCCAACGTGCTAATACAGGCACGAGCCACTGCGCCCGGCACCTGCCGGGAATTAAATGTAAACCACTTACAGATTACAATTCATGTCCCTGACACTTCTGCTGCCAGGGGGCCCATGAGGCTCCAGTTCCCAGGGCCACCCTTCCCTGACTCCGTTTCCTTCCCCAGCTGGACCGCGAGGCCAACCTCACCAGCAGCGTGGCAATACTGGCACTGCCCCTGCAGAACGCCACTGTGGAAGCCGGTACCAGATGCCAGGTGGCCGGCTGGGGGACCCGGCGTAGTGGGGGGCGTCTCTCTCGTTTTCCCAGGTTCGTCAACGTGACCGTGATCCCCGAGGACCGGTGTCGTCCCAATAACGTGTGCACCGGTGTGCTCGCCCGCCGGGCCGGCATCTGCAATGTAAGTGCTCCCCGTGGCGGGAGGAGGGGTCTTGAGAGGTAATGAGCTCTCCGTGGCAGGAGAAAGCAATTTCAGGCTGAGGACGGCACAGGAGGGGGCCTCAGGATGGAGCACGTTAACAGTATGAGAAAAAGTATCTCTCTTTTTTTTTTTTGAGACAGAGTCTCGCTCTCTCGCCCAGGCTGGGGTGCAGTGGCCGAATCTCAGCTCACTGCAAGCTCTGCCTCCTGGGTTTACGCTATTCTCTTGCCTCAGCCTTCCGAGTAGCTGGGACTACAGGCGCCCACCACCTCGCCCGGCTAGTTTTTTTTGTATTTTTTAGTAGAGATGGGATTTCACCGTGTTAGCCAGGATGGTCTTGATCTCCTGACCTTGTGATCCACCTGTCTCGGCCTCCCAAAGTGTTGGGATTACAGGCGTGAGCCACCGCGCCTGGCTGAGAAACAGTATCTATCAAACGTTAACATCTGTGCTGGGGGTTGGGGACCCAGCAGGCACGGTAGAGCCGGTCATTGAGGGACTCAGGTGTGTGACTGCCACGGGAGGGGCACCTGGCCCAGCCTGGAGGTTCCAGGAAACTTCAGAAAGCAGCTGGTCCCAAATTCCACTAGGAGTTAACCAGGGCAGAGAGAGAACAGCTGTGCAAAGGCCCTGGGGCTGGATCAGGACTTGTAGGTTCCAGGAGCGGCAAGAGGGCTCTGCAGTTCTGGGGTGGCGCGGGAGCCGGGCCCAGGGACGCCCTGACACAGCTGCCACCTGCCCAGGGAGACGGGGGCACCCCCCTCATCTGCGACGGCCTGGGACACGGCGTGGCCTCCTTCTCCTTGGGGCCCTGTGGCCGAGGCCCCGATTTCTTCACCCAAGTGTCGGTTTTCCGAGACTGGATCGATGGTGTTCTCAACGGGGGACCAGTGCCAGCCTAGGGGGGGCCTGTGACCTCCCACAGAGCCCAGCCCTGCCCTCCGCGCCTCCCGCGCTCCGAACCCACCTCCCACGGCCCCGCCCCTGCCCCCGCTCCGGCCGGCGTGGCCCTGGCTGTAATAAAGAAGCCAGTCTCGCCTCTGCTTCTGCTTTCGGTTCATCAGGGAGGGCTGTGGGGAGGCGTGAGCGGCACCTTCACTGACCTCAGGGGCACCCACGCCAGGCACGCTGCCTGTGCAGATGTTCAGGGATCCCCTGGAAGCAGGGGCTGGTGTTATCTCCACCGGACAGTGGGGTGTTGGGGGAGGCCCAGGTTCCGAGAGGTTGGGTGGCTGCCCTGAGGTCACACAGCTTTGAACTCGAATCTGTGAGACTGTATTCCCTCTTCCCACGTCTCATCCTGCTGGAGAACATATCACACAGCTCCGTGGGCAACGCCAGAACACGCAGGAGAGACGGGCGCGGTGGCTCACGCCTGTTATCCCGGCACTTTGGGAGGCCGAGGTGGGCGGATCACTTGAGGTCAGGAGTTCAAGACCAGCCTGGCCAACCTGGTGAAACCCCGTCTCTACAAAAATACAAAAATTAGCCAGGCATGATGGCAGGTGCCTGTAGTCCCAGCTACTCAGGGGGCTGAGGCAGGAGAATCACTTGAACCCGGGAGGCGGAGCTTGCAGGGAACCGAGATGGCGCCACTACCCTCCAGCCTGGGCAACAGAGTGAGACTCTGTCTCAAAAAAAAAAAAAAGAAAACCCACAGGAGAGAACGGGAAACATT